AAAAGGGATTTAATAATTTTTTCATCATGACACGGTATACATTTCCACCAAATTACAGCACTGAAAAAAAATTCATATTCAAATACTTTATGTTTACAGGTTTGAACATAATCATAACAAACGCCCGTCCCCAGTGATGCTACTCTGCATTTAAGTTTGCTACGCAATGTGTTCTTGTTTTTTTTTCTTTTGTTTCCCACAGCTTGCTCCCGGCTAATGCTGATTTAACATGCTCAATCGCTCGAAAAAGAGCTGATAAGGGGCCACTACAGCTCCCTCAGCTTGCCCATGGCAAGCAAGGACACACACCCACATGAAGCGCAAGCTTACCTAATGCAGTGCAGCATGAGAAACCAGCATCCTAATAAAGTTAATGAACTGTCATATAAACATATACATAAAACCTACCCAGCTAAAGTTACTTTAAAATAATAATACAATTTAAATATAACATTAAAACAACTTGTTGAAATAACTTCTTCAGTAGCAATGACCCAGAGACAGCCATTCACTTATTTGGCATTGTCAATATGCCAAACCTCTGTGCCTTTATTGTTCAAAATATTGATGAGAAGTATTGTTTTTGTGAAAACATATTATTTGGTATTTTGGAAAATCACAGAGCTGAATACACACAATATACAATAGATAAAAGGCCCGTTTTTGTTGCCTTTGAAAAGGAGATGGAACATTATATTGAATACAGCCCTCTTTAAAGCAAAAAGCTATTAAAACTGTTAAAGCATGTATGTTTTTCAAGATGTTGTGTAGTTATGTATATCCCCCTAGCAAACGTATTCATGTATGCATACACAGTTATATGTATATTTTTCTATGCATCTGATGTTGTGTACTATGTTTTGCTTTAATAAAAAAAAAGTCTTCTTGTTTTGGACAAAAGCCAAGTCTTCTTGTTTTGGACAAATGGCAGATGGCAGGCTAAGTTAGGGTGCATTACCGCCACCTACTGAGGGCTAGCTACACTCCTCAGGCATTCACATTTCAACAAAGTTCGTCAGTCAGTCAGTCAGTCAGTCAGTCAATAAGCGGAAATGCCTCTTCTTGGCCAGTCTGGCAAAAAAAGACATGTCTGAACTCTGTTCACCACTAGGAGGTGCTGTAAAACTTACGTTTGGTCTCAGACGGGGCTATAGTCTGTAAAAAAAAAGACAAACACCTTTCACTACAGATGTGGTTAAACGTGACATACGAAAGGGCAAGACCTTTTAACTTTTAGCAGTAGTGCTGATGTGGACGAGAGCGCTGCACCTGAACTGAGCGTGATGGCCAAGACACCACGAAATGCTAGCTGTTCAGTGTACAATACAAAAACAACAGAATCTACTCATTTGTTCTTGAAATGTTACTTCAAACAGAAAAGGCCAGAGGTTACAGTAATGTTAAAGTTCATGTTCTGTTTAATTTCCATAAATACAAAAAGCTAAAGGTTACTGTCGTCTTATTACACTAGCACATACCAGACTGCTTGAAGGACAATAAAATGAACGGTCAGTGAAAATGATTTTTTTTCCCTCAAATAATGCTGTAAAAAACTGAATATCAAATGTGAAAAAAATGCCCATTCCCTATACACTATAGTGTCTTAACACAAAACCAAAAATACCCACAAGTGTTCTATTTTTATTTTTCTACCTGTATAGGTTGACAAAATTTCTTTGTTATTTGATTCAAATAAAAAAGGGTGCTTGATGCATCCCCCAACACTCATTCTGTGGTCCATGTGCACAAAAAGCAGTCACCCTTACTCAGTATTCACAGGCATACACTCATGCGGGCATGCTCAAGCTAAAGCCCTGTTATGATACCAGCAGCAGAGGACTTGTCAAAATCAGCACCGCTGACAAACACCTGCGCTCGTGTCTCGACAGGCATCATTTAACACATTTACCAGCCACAGTGGGACCTGACAGACACATCTGTGCCTGGATACGGCGCTGAAAAAGCTCATTTAGCGTTTTAAGTGGCTGGACTGAGTTGACATTTGATGGAGAGCACTGTTACAACAGGCTAAAAAACATAGAAAAAACATAGTATCCAAACAGTCTGTTTACAAATGTGATTTGATAACAGCCGGCGTTCCTTTAAAAAGTCAAAACAAGCAAGTGAACAAGGTTAATCCAGTGTTAATCCATGCAAAGCCTCAGTAACAAGCATTAAAACAGCTCTCCTACAAAAGTCTCTTCAGCTGCTCCTTAACACGCCACATAAATTTTCCCTAATCGGAGTGAACACCCTGTGTGTGGCATAATGGCAGCTCTTTTACTGAGAAAAGGCTCAGAACATCTTTTCCTCGAGTCAAGCGAGGCAAGAAGATAAAGAACCTTGAGGAAAGGCTGAATGAAAAAGTTAGAGGAGATTAAGCCAAAGATGAAAAAAGCAATCAGGCTGGTGTTTCCTTACCTGAGGAAATCATCATGATAATTACAGCATGATTAAGAACCCTGGAGGAATGAACTTTATCACACTCTAGTTTATTTAGGATTATACTATAAAGCTCATTTCCTATGTAGAGAGCTGTGCAAAAGTTAGAGACCACTCTTCATTAATTTACTTCCCAGTAAATGGCAACTTAGCCATTAAGTACGATTTCAGAATCAGGAAAAAAATCTGAAATAATATATATTTAACAGAAAATTACATAAAAGCCTTGACATACATCACAATTTTCAGTATTAATGCACCACCCTTTACCTTTACTACAGCTTCTATTGTTTTCAGAAGACTTCCCTTCTGTTCTTTAAAGAAATCTGCAGGGATATTTTTTCACATCTCCAAGGTTCAGTCTTAAAAGTTGGTTGAACTTCCAGCTTCTCAGAATCCAAATGATCCCAAACACATTCAGTGATGCTGAAGTCTGGATTTTGGATAGCCAGTCCAGTGATCCGAGAACACCGGCAGCTTCTTTATTTAATAAGTACGATCTTCTCAGCAGTGTGCTTGGGGTCATTATCTTGCTGTAGAAAGAATTCCTTCGCAATCAGACGTTTGCCAGAGGGATGTGAATGATGTATTAACATTTGATTGTGCTCATCAGCATTATTGACAGCTTCGATCAAAGGCCAATCACCAATCACTCCAGATGGTGTTACGCTTCTCTAAACTTGCACTGATCCTCTACTGCACTCTACTGATTCGTGTTTCTTTGCTTTGATGGCAGCAAAGTGACATACTATCTTTTGTTACATCCAAAGATCTCAAATTTAGACACATTTGTAAAGTCTTACTCCACATTTCAGACGTCTAGTTTCAGTGACTGTGAATGTTCTTCTTTGTTGTCTGCTTCCTTTTCATAGTGTGTTTCTTGGCAGCTACACATCCTTTCAGACTCATAGTGCTGAGTTGTCTTCTTACAGTGGAAGGATTGGCAGAAACACCTGTGGAGCTTGATTTTCTCTTCTCTTATAAAGATGAAAGCTTTAAGTACTGTTTATCTGATGGGGACAGTTATGTTGGTCTACAAGGACTTGCCTGGTTCAGTTTTCTCTGTAGATTTTAGTTTTTTTGCATTTATTTTTTTAACTAATTTTCCTTTGCCTTTTTCTTTCCTTATGCAAGTGAGTTATCTTATAATTAATCTCCTCAGAAACATCTCCTGAAAAATAAAAAACTTGTTCCAATTTAACTGTAAAGTAAATAAATGAAGGTGCTATAAATCCACACCTAAGTACCGTTAAAAGAGCTTAAGGCACATTTGTTTTGTAATAATAATAATAGTAATAATAATAATAAGAAGAAGAAGAACTTTATATAGAGAGCACCTTTTGTACAGATAGCAGGCCAAGCTATAAAATTCAATAACAGTTATAAAAAGAAAATAGTTCATATAAAATAAAAATGAATAGTATTAATGAAAATAAAAAGATAATAAAGATACTTGTGATTTCACAAAAACAATGCATGTATATCTATTCACTTTTCAGCCTACAACGGTTTAGTTGTGCCCAATCACACTGACAGTCTTTCAGCCCGGACCGCTTTTTGAATGAAGCACAAACTGGACAGCCAATCAGAACAGTAAAGATCATTTACAGTCTTAAAGGCACAGTAACAAAACCAGCCTGCTTAATTCTAAGGGATAAAAAGAGGTTGAAAAATGGTCGTGTAGAAATCTGCTTTTGGTGCGTAAAAGCACACAAAAGTCATCGGTGGACCTTAAAATACAAGAAAAATGTATGAGTGAGCCCTTTAAGAGTGTGTGCATTGAGCTCCATTGCCAAATATAAATGTGAGTTCTATAGTTTAGAATTAGAAAAAAACAGAAAGAGGCCTTGAACAGTGTCTGCAGATGTATACGATCACATGTTGGAACATCAACAGGCAGACATTCAGTGAGGTACACAGACGCTGCGCCATTAAAAACAAGAAAAAGAACTTTAAATTGGATCCAGTGCAATGATCTCTTTCTTGTCTTTGTTAGGATCCATGCTGCTGAATTTTGCCCAAGAATTACTGTTTTCTTCTTTATGATACCTCATGCAACTTTTTTTATCTTTCTTACTCAACCTTATTTGTCAAATGTATTTGACGTAAATTTGACTTGGTTGATACTTTTACTACTTAAGTTAAACATTTCAAGTAGAATGTTAAGGATGAAACGTTGCATGTTATTATTAATGCTGTTATTACTATCATTCAAATACACAAAAGATCAAAGGATCACAGGAAATCAACTGCTCTTCATGCTGATTTACACATAAGTACTCAGCCTGATGTTGCTAATGAAGTACCACTTCACTCAATGGCTTTACAAGCCGATAAGCAATTCATCATGAATATTTATGCATCATCTTTAAAATTATTCACATTACATCGATTAATGTGGTTTGACTGAGTCCTATTTACATGAAGTAGAAAATAACAATGATAAAAACAACAGAAAAAATCACCAGGTTTCATAATAAATGGAAAATGAGGCCCTCAGGCCTGTTGAGTCCTGTCCCTGAGGGTAGACAGGGAGGGGGCAGAGAACAGTTACTCACTGAATCATCTCTGAGGACCGAGGACAAGAGCCTGATCTAAACAATCCAACAGCCAGCACCAGGCCTTCGCTGCAAGACACAGAAAAAACACCATGTTGCAGTTATATTTCTACATTTTGTGATCATGATCTGCTTTGAGATATATTACAAAGACGTTAGCGAATGCTTGATGTGACATGGGTAAAAAATGCTAATTTGGATTACAATTATTGGCGTTTTTGTTGAATCATGTGGACACCTCGATTTATCCAAACACCCACAGGAGCATATCTGGAGCGTCAGAGATTGGAGAGAATGCTCACAGCACTAAGGGTTAACAATTTCAAAACATAACTGAAAAATCTAGGAAGTCTGCACTTGAAACAGTTTTTAAAAATTTAAAACTATATCGCCAATACGACCCTCACTCTCCTCCAAGGGGCATCCATTTGTCATCTTTCTTGGAAACAAACCATGGAATGTGAAGAGATTGTAATAGTGACTTAATTATAGGAATGACTCAGAATATTTGAATATTCAAATTAGTGGTGAGCAGTATGGCCAAAATTTTATATCATGGTATAATGAAGATTTCTAACGGTTTCGTTTTTATATCACAGTATAGTGTATTTATGCATGTTTCTTTGTTTATTATACCATTTTGGGAGCTTTAGTAAAACATTTTTGTAGACTAACAGGTGGTGTATTACTGTTCCTTCACTTTTAATAATAACCATATTAAACAACTGAAGAAAATCTACAATATTTTATTGGAAAACAGAGTAAAAAAGGTGTGAACAGTATGTTAAGAGTCAACATTGCTTTCTGACCCTAACAAGATTGAGACAAGTGCTTGTAAGCACACAGCAGCTTGTCTGAGCAGGGCTATGTCCGAATTTCTTGAGGCATTTGAGCTTTCATGTGTGAGTGTTGGATGCTGCTGGAATTTGGTAAATATTAAGGTCATTCACGCTATCAGTATTAGCTGAGAAGCTGCATGAAGCAGCTGGTGAACAACCGTACACGGTGTGCCCAGAAAGCTGTTAGTATCCAGGCAAAGCGAAAGGCTAAGGGCTAAAACCTAAGAGACCAGCTTTGCTTTACGCTCTCATTTCCCCCTTTAAGTCATTACATTCTGATTTTACTCCTTCGACAACAAACCACACTAACTTACCTCAGACTGCAACTCATAACACACAAGGTGGGGGAATTAGCATTGTTTGCACTGCATGTATGTTGCATTATCGGCGCTTATTTGTGGCATAGTAATAACAGTAATAATAGTAACAACTAGTGTACTCAAGACCAGAAGAGTACTCAAGACTACTAGAGTTAAGTCCAAATCAAAACAGGGACAGACAGCATGTACTTAGATATATTTATAAAGCCCCTGAAACCCCTTACATGAAAATATTGTAATAATAAGATTCAAATCAATCCTCGAATGATGTTTGAATTTTGGAACCAACAAACATCAATAAACACACAGTGGTTTTCAACCTTTGGGCTGTGGCCCCCAGTGGGCCGTAGTGGTACTACATCAGTTTTTTTTAAACCTAAAAAATTTACAGCAGTATAGACATTTAAACCCTTACAAAGTGCACTCAGCAGGTCAAGACAACAATTTTCCACCTTACCCCGAGGCCGAGACATGACAGAGACCTCTAGTATATAGACTCAAGTACTACAACACTAGTAATGAAAATGCTAATATCTTAAGACGAATTTCAACCGGTAAAGCAGATGAGCAGGTAAACTGCCTACTACTAATTCAATAGCTTGTCTCTAACATTATACTTTTTTAAAAGAATCATGACTTGTCTGAACTCTACACTCCACTCCACCAGAGTGCAGTCTGTGTCTTACATTTTCGTCAGAGTTTTTATGTTGATTCCAAAAAAAAAAAGGTACAGTGCAGTTATATAAAAGCTACAGTTAAGAAGCTCCCCACCATAACATGGCTGGCAGTGGGTCTCTGTTGGTCACAGAGAGTACAAAGCGCAGAATCTTTTTCTCTGAATTTATCTATTCTGTTCAGCTTTTACATTTTTACATTTTTTCATTTTCATTCATTCTCCTGCATTTGCTGTTTTTATTCTCTAAGTTTAAAAAAATAAGAATCATCTGCAGAGCATTATATTCACATTACCTCCAATCTGGTCACTGGTTGTATTATGCAAACATCAAAGAAAGGACATTCTATTATTAATGACCCCTCTGATGTCCTCTATTCTGCCTTAGTTTTTTCCCTTGGGTCACCATTATCGCTGCCCCAGATGTCGGCCTGTCCAACGGAGGGTGACTTTTGTGCCTGAGGCCATCAGGTTGATCGATGACCATTCCTGTTGAGCTGTGTGATCACATTTATTACATTTACCCATTTTTTTATAAAACAAACTTTTACATGAGGAGTTTTTATAAGAGGCAGTTTTTCATATATTTTTTAGCTGTTTGGCCATTTTTGTTTTGTGTACAGCTCAGTGACAAGTTTGAGATTTCGCAGAAGGGCATGCTAGTTGACCACAGATTCAAAAAATGTATCAAACCTTCAAATATAGAGGAGTACACAAGTCTTAGGCAGTAAGTGTGTTTTAGCTATACATTATAATAAATAAATAAATGAATAAATAAATGAATGTAAACATGAAAAATATATAAACAACTTGAGTAAAAACAAATAGCTAGAAAAAAAGAGATTTGGTTGCTGATTACTTTCACTCCAGCCATCACATGGATTTATTCAGTTCCATCAGTAACATCTGATTTCATTTAATAAAAGACTGATTAGATAGGTATTGGAGCTAGTTATTGGATGGTAACTGTAAAAATGGGACTTTCCTGAGAAGAGATTTGGAAATGGTTATGTTAACACACATCAAATCGCAATGGATTGTTTATTTGTTACTCTAATGTTAGTGTTTTTTGAGCAAATGAATATTTACTGATAAATAGCTTTACATATAATTTCTCAGATGGCCTAAAAGTGTACAGAGTGCTGTATGTGTACTGTTACTCCTACATAGCACATAATTAAATATTTAGTGATTTTTTTATAGGACTCCTGCAAAAACAATACTGCAATGGTTAACACTGTGACGCCAATTAACAAAGAACATATTGCTCAGACTCGGCCTTGGCCACTGCTTTCAGCTATAGAGTGACAACCAAGACTTTCTCTCAGGCGCTCTCTCTCTCCCTGTCTCTCTCGCCACCTCATCCTTTTCATTCTCTCTGTCTATATATAGATGACATTTAATATAACCTCACTTTGTTGCACTGGCAGGTTTCTTTCAACACATCCAGCCTGGAAAAAACAGCGATAAGACAAGGTGACCTCATGAGACCTGATTATTGGCCCAGATATATGTTAATAGCAGCTTTTGTAATAGAAACTGCAGTGGTGGACAAACTGGTCCTGTTTGGAGTTTAATAATTCATAAAAAAAAACATGATAATACATAAAAAAGAACTATAAGCAATGAAAATTTAAGGGACATAAGCATTGCTTTTTGTTGTTCTCAGGTAGCAGCTGGAAGGACAATGCCTGTCGAGTAAATTTTAAAGTCAAACAGTCGTTTTAAAGATGAATGATGTCACACTAGGAGTGGATAATGTAACATACAAACAGTGCAAACCACGCTAACGTTATCCTGTTTAGCTAAATGGCTGAATGGATGTTATTGTCTACATTCATCCCAGCAGGTAAAAGTGGCCCAAATCTGATTTTCTCACCAAATCATGACTGCCAATGAACGCCAGTCTGCTCCCGGAGTTTTCAGTTTCATCTTTGCCAGCATCACAGGAGCAATCATGAAGCTTCACTGACTGACAGCTGGGCTCATCACCCAGAATGTGTTCGAGCTCGCCGTAAAAGGGGCTCGTATCCTCGGATTCTTTAAACTTTGCTATAAGACTTTTCTTTGACGCACCAGCCTAGTTCTTCTACAGCCGCATTCGGCCATTTCTTTCGAAGTCTCTTTGAACTTGTCTCTTTGAGGTCTCAACAGCGTGAAATTATGACGAATGTTGAGTTGGAATGATGTAAAAGTCGCATGAATTCCGATCTGCCTGTTCAGACTGAGTCGTATTGCCATATATCAGACACATATCGGATTTAAGTACCACTTGTGAAAGTGTCTCAAATCAGAATTTAAAATGTCAGATTCAGTGTGTTTTTTGCTGTTCACACTGACACACAGATGACACATCTGTGTCACGTTTAAGGAAAAAGATCGAATTTGGGCCACTTTTACCTGCTGTGTAAACAAAGCCTTGGTCACATGTCAAATAAAACAGGCAGCACACCCTCGATCATCTTTTTCTCTGTGGTCTGTTGCATCTGAAGTAGTCCACTTCATTTCGATAGCAGAGGACATATAGAAATGGCCGGCCTTTTGGGGTTAGCCTTAGATTAACATACACCAGACTGATTGCCGTGCTTCCGTTTCCTCTCATACCGCCCAAGGAGCCGTCTGACTCAGTCACCTGCATCAGATGACTCCATGATCTCTGGGCCTTGTGCACGAAAGAAGCCACAGATCAGCTGGTACTGAAGCATCGGTGACCGTACTTTTCTCCAAATTCCACCTTAACTGGTGCATCAGTTACATTCAGGTGCCTGTACTGGTGCCAGAAAAGCTATGCTCACATTACAAGCTTCATTGCTAAATTCAGATTTTTTGCTCAGATCTGATCTTTGACAGTTCACATTCATGTAGGTAAGTGACTCAAACCTGTTATTAATGTGAATGACGTGATCTGTTATTAATGTCCACGACCCTGCATGCGCACATTCTAAAAATGTCACGTGAATGAACCACGTGCATCATGAACAACAGAAACCAACAAAACTAAACAGCTCTTAAAAAATCAGATTTATGCCACTTACACCTGGTAATCTGAATGTCACCAATATTCCTGTTGCTGTATTTAAGGTGGAACAGAAAATCTGAACAAAAAGCTGCCAAGTAAAAACATTTGATGTAAAAAAAATTGATGTAAAACAACATTTGGCCTTATTTTTGCTAAGAAAGCAATACTCATTTAGGTTTATCTATATATTTTTTCAGCTTTGTTTTTGCTATTTTGCA